AGATGTAACAAATTGAGTACTTTTTTTTCTTGGTTTATAATTTAGGTTATATTATTTATCTCATTTTGGTCCAAGATAATTTTTTTCTAGAGTGCTTTGTGGTAGTCAAAATAATAATAATACCTTCCACTCCCTACAAGATGTCCAGGTTCTAATCTCTGGAAATGGAATGTGTTCTTTAGCAAGTACTACTTACAGATGCGATTACTTTAAGGATCTTGAGATGGGAAGATCATTCTGGATTATCTGGGCGAGCTATATAAATATATATATACACACATACACACACACACACACACACACACACACACACACACACACATATATATATATATATATATATATATATATATATATATATATATGCGTGCCTAAGCAACCAGCCCGCTGACTGCCTGACTGTTCAACCGCCTGCCTGACCACCAGGGGGCAGACCCAGAACCAGAGAAGAGGGAGCCTGATTCCAGGGTGTGTCACTTGAGAACCACCTTCTCACAATCAGGGACCCCTTGGGGGATGTAGGAGAGCCAGTTCCAGCCCCATCCCCCCAGGCCAGGCTAAGGGATCCCACCTGCTGGAAAGGATTCTTCTCACTCTGCAGATGCCCTTTGAGCAGTGTGCCATCCCAGGTGTGACTGGCTGGGAATGGACCGCAGGTGGTTGGCTACATGGCATTTCAGGCCTGTCTCGTCTAGTCCTGCCCAGCTGGCCACCTGGTAAATAATTTCCTTTTTCAATGTGCACAAATCCATGCACTGGGACACTAGTATCATGATAAGGGCCCTCATCAGAGGAATCAGGAGGGTCAGAGTAGGAGAATAATGAAAGATGCTATACTGCTTGCTTTGAAAATGGAGCATGGGGCCATAAGCCATACAATGCAGGTAGCCACAGAAGCTAGAAAATTCAAAGAAGTGGATTCTCCCCGTACAGCTTCCAGGAGGAACACAACCCTGCTGACATTTTTTATTTTAAGATTTCTAACTTCCAGCCCTGTATTGTTTAATTTGTATTGTTTAAGAAATAATTTTGTGGTAACTTATTAAATAGTAATAGGAAATTAATACATACTATTTTTAGTTTCATAGGTACAAATGTCTTTAATTTTGTTGCACATATGAATCAAAGAATTTTAGAATGGTTTTCTGTTTATTGTAGTAAATTTATTTTTAAAAGAAGGTAGTTTTGCTTTTTTTAAAGAAGGAATATAGTCTAGCTTATAGGAACTTTCCATAAGTATGGTATTTGTTTCTCAGTTTGATCATCCATAGAGAGCTATCTATGTTTTCCCAGTCTTGTTTTATGGCCAAACAGAAATGGAAATGGTTTCTGTTAACATGATATGATTCCTACTAGTATCTCCCCTGTCTGGATCAAGTGATAAATGGGTAAAGTTACAATATAATACTGTAACTTGGATATCATCCCTAATCTCAAGGTTTCTGGAATAATTCTTTCCTCTGTCATAGAAATAAAGTAACTCAAGCTCTCATCCTATGCGAGTGCAGATAATGTAGCTGCTTTTAAAATAATTTCTGAAGTCTAGGTAAGTGCTTACAAATTTTTGCCATCTCTCACTATGAATCATTTAGACAATAATTACTCAGTAGCCATAGTGTTCTTGAAATGCAGATAGTATCATGTCATTTCCTTGTTTAAATTCTTCAGACACATTTTACTTAGAAAAAAAAAGACAAAATATGTAAACTCACAAACTTCAGCATTATCTGTCCTTTGCACACCTCTCCAGGATTACCTGCTGCTATCATCATCTCTCACTGTTGTCCTTCAGGGATCTTAAACAAATTCAGGTCCTTCATATTCAGGACTTGACATAAATCCTCCCCTTCATGAAATGTTTTACCTTACCTCTTTCTGCCTCCTAACAAGTCTTTATCCTTCCGCCTTGTCCAGCTTGTGCTTTTGATGATTGCAGGCATGTTAGTTGGGGGTGGTAAGGTGGGGGGTCGGGGGAGGGAGTGGGGGAAGGGAGAAGATACATGTGTGAATAGAGAATGCCAATCCAATCTTTGATTAAGCTTTTATGACGCTTATTTTAGGGGAATGGACAGGGTGGGACGAATACCACTTTTGGCTAGCCAATATTACATTATACCGCATTTAGTTTATGGAGCCTGTTGATATACATACTCAAAGATGATATTTTAAATGAGTTTTTTTTTTTTTTTTGTATCCTTGTCTTTCATTTATATGGACAATCAAGAATTATGTCTTTTAACTTCATACTTTGTAATGGTCTTATATGACAGGAATGCAGTAGATATTTGGCCTGGTTGTAATATAGGATAGGTTTGCGATTCTATTTATCTGAATACTACTCTTTTCAAAATCTCTGCGTCAGTAACAGCTCTCCTGGGATTGTGCATTTAGGAGTGCAAATGACCTGATTTTTATAAAATAAAAACTAGCTCTTCTTGGGCAGGCAAAACGTTCCCAGTGAAGTGATCTCCTTTCTTACATTAAATAACAAAGACTGGGTTTTTCTAAATGTTTTGTCTATGCAACATCTTTAACATTTTAATTGACTTGAAATGATCTTGGCCTTGGAAAGTATGCTCACTAAATGCTTAGGTTTTTCTTTTTTCTTTGAACCAGTGTAAGCATTTCACAGCACCTGGTCCTTTGAAAAGCAGAACCCACGCCATACCTACAAGATGGCACACTGCCAAGAAAGCCCTTTTGTGTGTGTTTGTGGTGAATCATTCAGAGTCTGTAAGACTGATCAAAATTGCACTGTTTGAAAACCTTGTTTTCCCTATTTTTTGTCTCTTGACGACTCATACGTTAGTTTGAGTTTATGTCTAGATTCTTTTCTTTCTCGTTTCTCATCATGTTCATTCAGAAGATGTTCTTTCACTAGTTCCAAAATTTGTATTTCTATATTCTGTCAGTTTTCATCTTGAAACATACACACAGCAATATGCTCTGAATCATAAAATTCTGCATTAAATCCCAACACTTAAAAACCCCACATATTCTCAGTACGGCTTTACCTGCACTTCTGTTCCCATTTTCATTCAGTAAAAATTTGTTAACGTTTTATATTCACTGGCACATGACCCTTTATTATTTCATCTGTTAGAAGGTTTTGGATGCAAGAAACCCAAAAATCAATGCCATTGGTTTAAACAGTAGGACACTCAGCCCGTCATGGTTATGAAGGAATATGAAAAGTACCCTGGCTTCAATGTCAATTAAATGAATATATCAGTAATGATCTCAAGGACTCAGGTTCTTCCCATCATTCTCTTTGGCCATTCTTTTAAATCAGTTTTTTTAAGTATATATTTTATTGATTTTTTTACAGAGAGGAAGGGAAAGGGATAGAGAGTAAGAAACATTGATGAGAGATCAGCTGCCTCCTGCACACCCCCTTCTGGGGATATGCCTGCAACCAAGGTACCCTATGACCCCTTAGATGTCTGATTTCCCTGGCCTGCTACAGAATCCTGTGAGCTCAGCTTAGTCAGAATTCTCCCCTTACTCCTGCTGTTCCCTTTTGGTAATATTCTATCCACTGCTTCTTCACTGTAAATTCCTGTATTTGGCATACAGGCCAAAGTGGGAATTTGGAATGTGGAATACAGGCCAAAGTGGGAATTTGGGATATGGAAGCAACCCAATTGCCCATCAATTGACAACTGGATAAAAAGTGGTGGTACATATACACACTGGAGTATTATTCCACCCTTAAAAGAAAAAGAAAAAAAGAAATCTTACCGTTTGTGACAACATGGATAGACCCAGAGGGTATTATGCTAAGTGAAATAAGTCAGACAGAGAAAGACAAATGCGGTATGATTTCATTTATATGTGAAATAAAACAAACACAATTAGAAACAGGCTCCTAGAGAACAGACTGATAGTTGCCAGAGGGCAGGGGGGTAAGGGGATGGATGAAAAATAGGTCACGGGATTAAGAAATACAAATTGATCAACCAAAGGACTTGTGTGTATGCATATAAGCCTAACCAGTGGTCATGGACAACAGGGGGTGAGGGTATATGTGGGGAGGAGTTTGGGATGGGAATGGGGGGATTAGGACAATTATGTGATACCATAATCAATAAAATAAAAAAAAACAAATTGGTAGTTACAGAACAGTCACAGGATGTACAGTACAGCATAGAGAATATAGCCAATAATATTGTAGTAACTATATTGCCAGGTGGGTACTGGAAACATCTGGGGGAATACTTTGTCAACTATGTGATTGTCAAACCACTGCACTGTATCCCTGAACCAAATACAAACTAATATTACACATAAGCTGTAATTGAAAAACAAAAGTAAAAACAAGAGCCTAATCGCTGGGTTCCAGCACTCCTGCTCACACTAGCCCTGCTGCTTCCCAAGGCCCAGCTGGCATGTGAGTTTTCAGTACTTGGTGATTGAGTTGGAAACTCTAGTTACTTAGAAGGCATTACCCTTACCCAGAAGTTCTGACTTTGGGTTAATGACATTAATACATTATTAAAATGTTTTTTAAAGTGTTTTTTCTTACTTCCCCTAAGCCTTTGATCATTGAACAAGAGACCTAAAGTCCCAGCTACACAAGTGTGCGTCCTGGATGTTGCAGGCGGAATTGATGGCTGATGTTCCAGGCTGGCGGGCAGGGGTGCGTGGGGCTCACCAGCTCTCAGACCCGCCACTTCCTCTTCCCCTGGGCGGCCCGGGAGCGCAGACAGGCTGGAGGGGAGGAAAGCCCCGGCCGCGCCCACCCGGCTACCCGCGGGCCCCGGGCCCGCGTCTCCGCCCCGAGCGGGGCGGCCCGAGTGCGGGCCAGTCCGTGCGGCACCGGCCCGGGGCGGCCCGCCTCCCCGCGGGATTGGGCCCGCCGCCCCGCCCGGGCCGCGGAGCGCGCGCGCGGTGTGGCCTCCGGGGGCCCGCGCTCCTCCTCCCGCTCCGGCTCCCGCCCGGGAGGAGGAGCCGCCTCGGAGGGAGACGCCGGCCGCACAGTCCCTGCTTCCGCGGTTGGTTCCTTACTTTTCCCAACTCCAGGGAGAACCCGGCGCCCCCCGGAACTCGCCTTTGCCCGAAGCGCCGGCGGGGAAGCGGGGAGGCTTCCCTCGCTTCGGCCCCGGGAGAGCGAGGGCGGGGAGTCCGGCTGCGCGCGGGGTCCGGCCGGCCTTCCCCGCGAACCGGGTTCGGGGCCGCGCGCTCCCGCCCCACGCCCGGCCCCGGCTCGCGTTCAGGTTCGGGTACCGGTCTGCCCCCCGGAAGCCGGCGGTGAGCCCCTTTCCCAGCCCCGGGATGAGGTCCGGAGGCAGGACGCCCGGCCCGGGCCTGGAGGGAGGCTGCGGGAACGGGAACCCGGCGTGCATTTCACGCCAGTTTCATTACGGGTCTCCAGGTCGCACGCTGCCTTTACCCGCTTCAGACTTAGTTAGGATGTTTGTCTAGACGTTGTTTTTTGTTTTGTTTGTTTGTTTGTTTGTTTTCAGCCTTGAGGTTGTACACCAGCGAATAGGTAGTGGACACTAGGAAATACAAAGTACTGGTTCAGGGAGATCCTCTCCAAAACTTTTTTCTACTTTGGACTCAGATCACCATCTAACTTCCAGGCTTCCCCGGGCTCCTGTTAGGAGGGGGACAGGTGAATATCCTGGAAGGTTTCAGCTGTTTCTTTGCTTTTAGGCTACCTGAGGCCTTGTTGCAAAAGATAGCAGGGCCCTGGATTAAAGTAAGGGAAGGACAGAAAAACCTATGAAAAGGAACAGAAACGTTCTCATTCGGAAGATGGGAAGATGACACGAAAGAACTTTGCATTAACTTTTATTCAGAAGCTCTCAACACTTTTAAAAAATTATTTGGAAATAACAGGATTGCAGTTACCATCACATTTAAATTGGTTTCAGGCATATATGCTGTCCCCTTCCACACCCTGAAGAAATGTTCTCTTCCAGGGCAAAATCTCTAATTGTGAAATTTACTAACCTGTGTTCAATTACAATTAATTGATTAAAGAGGTGTGACTGTTCTGAGGAGTCTATGCTTTTGTTGTTGCCAATACCACACTCATCTCTCAGGCAGGGCAATTTTCACATTTGGTGAGGGTGGGGAAGGGACAAGGTATAGAAAAACCGAAAGAAGCTGAAGGAGGCATGTGCAGGCCTGAAACTGCCCAGCGGCCTAGACTTCTGCTAAATTATAAGTGCTTCTTATAAGTTATAAACCCATGAAAATCCCCAGCTTCTTTAACAAATATTCCATGCCATTTGCTGTGTTTGGCAATGGTGAACATTGCCATTTTCCCAGTCCATAGTTTTGTATTCTTTCCTACAGACCCAAAACCTCATGCCAATGAAAGGAATTTGTAAAATGTATTCTTTTTCATCAGAAAATGTGAAGTATCATAGACCCCCAAATGAATTTTGGAAATGTTGTATTAAATTAAACAGGCTTGTATTTTGTGTTATGTTTTTTTGTTTGTTTGCTTGTTTATCTTTTTTTTGACTGGCAGCACTTCCTAGTTTTCAACATTGTAATATATGTGAAGCTTCCGTTTGAACAAACCCAATTGACCAGAATCCTAATTTCTAGGAACGTGGGAAAGTGCCCCCCTAGAAGACACTTTGAGAAAGGTATATTAACCGGAATATTTTGTTGCTGCTGTTTCTGTTTTTAATCGCCGGCCTCTCCCCTCTTCTGCCAGCAGAAGTGATGCCCCCAAGAAGAAATGGGAAATACAAACTTCCCGACCCACTTCCAGAAGGCAAGGTTCTGAATGACATGGAAGGAAAGCAATGGGTGCTGGGCAAGATGATTGGTGCTGGAGGGTTTGGATTGATATATTTAGGTAAAGTATAACTGTATCTGATCACGTGTTCTTATATATGTGACTGTAATGTTTTGAAATTGAAACTTTGAGATAAAAGGGAATAAATGTGCTTTAGTAATACGAAGATAGCTAATGTGGAGTAGAACTCCTAGTTTCACAACATGACTGGTCTCAGTCCTCATTGTTCTTTTTTTTTTTCTGAAGGACTCTCTCAGACATAGTGTTCATGTTAATGTTCTTTTTTGAGAGTGTGTTTTCCTGGAAACATTGCTTTTTTACAGCTGGGAAACCACAACTACACGAATACAAACACTTTCCACTTGTAAATCTGATTAATATTTAATTAATATAAGGTCTAGGTCATTTCTTAATTAGGCTCCACCAGAGAATTGCCCTTTAATATCTCAAAGCATCTACTTCTTGGATCGAATTTTCTCTCCTGTGCATCTCTAGAGTCTAATGGTTATGTGTTGTCTTTGGGATAATTGAGAAAATAGATGCTCAGTATTATTTTCTGAGTTCTTTGGTGCATGGAGCCTTGGCTGAGTATATTTACACTATATTTACACTTGTACACTATATTTTAAAATGTTTACACTAAATTTTAAAAGGCTCATTCAGGGCTACCGTAAACCTGTAGTTGAATGATTAGAGGATATCTATAACAAGACTAGATTTAATGAATAAAATAAGATAAATATTAGTGATATAAAAAAAGTACCTTCAAGGACAAGTTTTCCTAAATGTATTGACTCATTACATCTGTTTCTGAAGGAGTTTAAGAAGTTGGTAAAAGACCCCATTGCGGGAATCTTGGGTTCCTCATTAAACATTTCAAACTGCTGGGGAGGAAAGGACTATCCCTGTACCCTTCTAGGTTCGATAGCTGGATTTATGAAATGAATTGACAACAGGTAGATTAACAGGAAACAAGTGTACAAATTTATTCATTTTAATGTTATAAGCACAGAGATATTATAGGAAAAAAAAGGGGGGAACATCCCAGAAAGTGGTGAGATGTGAGCACTTATATACCACTAGAGGCCTGGTGCATGACATTCGTGCACTGTGGGTGGCTCCCTCAGCCCAGCCTGCGCCCTCTCGCATTCCTGGACCCTTTGGGGGATGTCTGACTACTGGCTTAGACCCGCTCCCACCAGGGAGCGGGCCTAAGCAGGCAGTCTGAAGTCTGATATCCCCCCGAGAGGTCCTTAGTGCTGCCACGGAAGCAGGAGAGGCTCCCGCCACTGCTGCTGTGCTTGCTGGTGGTGAGCCCAGCTTCTGGCTGAGCACACTGACCACCAGGGGGCAGCTCCTGCATTGAGTGTCTGCCCCTGGTGGTCAGTGCGCATCATTGTGACCAGTCGTTCTGCCATTTGGTCCATCTGTATATTAGCTTTTTATTATATAGGATCTTAGTAGGGAAACATAAGAAGGGAGTAGATGAATAGTCCCTTAGAAAAATAGATGGAGGATATGACAGTGTATACAGATATATATATATATATATATATATATATATATATACACATACCATGTGCACATACTACTTGTGTGATGAAAAGGAATTTATTTGCTCAGGCATGTGATTTGTCTCTTTTCAAATACAGAAAAATCTTTGCTTCTTTTAGTCTAAATACATGCCATATGTGTTTTTTTTTTGCTTATTTTTTCTCATTGCCAAACAGTATATGTTGTACAACAATTTTCAAGGTCCTATATGTTTGTAATACCTCCTACTGTCTAAATTTTAGAACCTGGATCCTAAAAATATTAGCAAGTGAACACCATTGAGGAAAGGCCATTAAAAAGGGTTTAGGTTTGAGGAAAAGGCTCCACAAAGAAACTGTAATAAAACTGTGTCCCAAATGTTGTCACTGTTCCATCAAAAGTGGCATCCATGACTCACAGAATCAGCTCTTCAGTGAGATGCCTTCAGCAATAACTTCATTAAACAAGTTTGTATTGATTATTTTGGAAGTTCTCTAAGCAAATCTATTGGAAATTACATCATGCTTTTGTATTTTACCATGGTTCTCATCACTTCTCGTGTAAAAGTGGAGAAGCCAGTAATTTCAGATAAACTGTTTTAGCAGACACTTTATCAGCATTTGTTACTGAAGGCTGAGGAAAAACTAGCCTCTCTGTCTAGCTCATTGTACATAACAGCTGTGCTCTAGTTTTGAGACCCATGGCTAAGACCTTTCAGTGTGAAGGGCAGAGAAGTTTGCTGTTTACTCTTGACTTGAAGAAATGATGTGCCTGTAGCATTAGTAGTAACACTTATAAGTGGGGAAAAATGTGAATACAAGAACAAAGTGAAGGTTCTTTTTTGTATACAGTATGTAAAGAGAGAGAAAAAGGAAGAAAGGAAACTGGTTTAAAGGATGGGGGGAAAATGTTGTCCTTGTAGTATGAAGTAAGTGGAAATGTTTTTAAGACTCCCGGGAAGGAGAGAGGACTGAGTATGAATTCTGCTCTCAGAGAACTGCACAAGTAAGAGCACAGGTTTTGGTGTTTGGCCAATCTGGGTTGAATTCTGAGCTTACTAAGCCACCTAAAAATGGAGTCTTTCTATTTTGTGTAATTGGAATAATATTAATTGTGAGGATTGAAATAATACTTTTAAACGATTTAGAACTTGGTAAGCACTTACATTTAATTTGTTTATTTAATTAGAATTTCCCATCCTCAGTGATAACTGAACTAACTCTAGATTCAGTGTTTGGTGCCACAGGGGGTTAGGATGGTGACAAAAACATCTATTGGAGGGGTTTTCCATTTATCCTGCCAAGGATTGTGATAGATTAGCTACTAATGTGGTATAACTAAGAATGTAGGGAATGTCAGTGGAAGACTATTGCATTTTACTTACCAACCATTTTCCCCTTAAAGTTTACAGTAGTAGCCACGATGACATAGTGGAAAGTTCTCCTTTAAGCTGTCTTGTTTGCTCCAGATGTGAGCGATAATGGGTTTTAGAAGTTAGTAAAAAATCCAGAAACACAGAATCATAGGTAATAAGTTTCAGCTTATTTTTTCACCTTTATCTGTGAACTAATTTATCCCATATAATTTCTAGTACAAGTTACCTTTATTTCCTATGATGTCTTCCTTTCCACCCCCACAGTCAGTATCGTTTGCAAAATGTCCTAGTAACAGTTTTGGCGGCATCAAAATGGTGCCCTGCTGGCATAGACCACTATGAGCAGGAGTGGTCTTGTATGAGGAAAAATGAAAATTATTTATCTGTGGAAGTTTTAGTTTTTGAAGTTGGGCATAGTGGTGACTCTTTAGCAGCTTTAAAATATCAAGTACAGCCCTGACCGGTTTGGCTCAGTGGATAGAGGGTGGGCCTGTAGATTGAAGGGTTCCAGGTTTGATTAAGGTCAGGGGCATGTATCTTGGTTGCAGGCACATCCTTAGTAGGAGGTGGGCAGGAGGCAGCTGATGGATGTTTCTCTCCCATTGATATTTCCAACTCTCTATCCCTCTTCCTTTCTTTCTGTAAAAAAAATCAATAAAATATATTTTAAAAAGAGAAAGAATATCAAATACAGAGTAGAGGATGTTCAAGAGTTATTGGCCTGAGAGACTGAGACTGAGATCAGGGTATTTAACCCATACAAGCCAGTTTGCTTTATTCTCTTCCATTATTATAGATGTCACCCGTAATTCCAGCCTGTAATCTTAGAGCCACACGAAAGGCTGGGACAAGTTAAATAGCAGGATGTCACCTAAAATAATCTATGTATGCTTTATTGATACTTAATCAATAGCACCTTTTATGAAGAAGAATACAGTACTAGAACTAAAATGAACTCTGGTGAAGCCTTATGACTGAATCCTTTATGCATGGATGAGTGTTTAGATTTCATCTAAATGACCATCATTACACTTTTTTGGCCATGCTCTCCAGGTAGCTCAATTTTGATCTTCAGAAATACAGAGGCAGGGGAGTGGGTAGGGATACTAGGATTTTTAGAAATTATCAAAATTTAACCCACTAATTTGATTGTTAAGGAAACATACTTCTACCTATAAAGAAATACTATTTATACTAGTGTGATTTTTACTTATTTTTTATTCAGCTGTAATGGGCTGATTGTTAATGTATGCAGAGTAATGTTCAGAAGAGCCTATCACCAAAATGCAGTTATTGGAACACACATTGCTTCATTGCACATTGCTGTATTAAGTGTTATTCTGGCAGTGTTATACAGAGAAGGCTTTGAGATAGGCAGTCTTATTTGACACAGGGCACCATTTTGATGCTTGTCATAACTGTTACTAGGATATTATGCAAGCAATACTGACTGTGGGGGTGGAAAGGAGGACATCAGTAGGAAATAAGGGTAACTTGTACTAGAAATTATATGGGATAAGTTAGTTTACAGATGAAGGTGTAGAGAGAGAAAAGGACCATGTGAATTTGATATATTGGTTGGGCCTCTACTTAAGAGGCCCTGGCAGTTGTATTTTAATTTTGTATGTGCTATCCACAGACTATTAAATTTGAGTTTTTAAAGAGAGAGCACTGTCTATTTTCCTATCAGTTAAGAAATCTAAGTATTCACAAAAGTTTGGCTTTGTAAACAAAAAGGAAGAGTCCTTCTAAGTCTTAGCCTTTGCATGTCTTTTTAATTTTTCTAAGTGTCCAGCCTTTTTATCATAATTATATTATTGTTTTCATCTTTGACATTTTTTTGCTGTTAATCTCTTGCTTTGGGAAACATTTACAAACACTGTTGTTCTTTAGTGACTTACATATGTCTCTTCCACTGCACCTGTTACTAATTTGTAACCATTTACAATGATAGAGGTTTTAACATGTGAAGCCTATTGCTGTAGAGACAGATCTTCTTCATGAGATGATCTCACCTCTCCTGCCGTAGAGTAAAAGACGTCTCAGTTTTTGAGAGAGTCTGGCTTCCTTATAACATGTGGATAGACTTTTGCTTATGAGATGTATTTTAGGGTCTTCTCTTTAGATATAGAAGAAGAAGTAGGAGGAGGTA